GTGGCTCTCGCCTCTGCTCTGAGCCCAGGACTCTCTGGTGCGTGCGGCCCCTGAAATCTGGGAACCCGGCATCTCCCAGGTGCATGCCTGCACCCGTTCACACCCACTTGTTTGGTTGTTGCTGGAAAACCCAGCTCTGCGAGAGTGCTGACATGGCTGTTGTGGGCTGAGGCCAACTGGACATCGTGGAGCTGGACTGGAGTTTGCTCGGGGGCTGCCGAGCAGCTGAACCCCCCGGCACAGCCTGGGGTCAGGGAAGCCCATCCCAGCTGCCTCCCGCCCTGCCCTGGGAGGTTTCTGTCAGAGCTCTGCTTTGCCACCGAAAAAAAACCCCAATTTAAATCCTTTTAGGCTCTGCTGGAGCTTGAATCGCCCAGCACTGCGGCCCTGATGTGCATTAGCAAACACCACACTGCTGGAGAGATCCCGGGGCCGCAGGATCCGTACGGGGACCCTCTGCCCTGCCCCAGCCCCTGGCACAGCTGTGACCCCGCACAGGGACAGAGGCCAAACCAGGTCCTGCAGGAAGACTGGGGGGGGGTCCCCGCAACTGCCTCCCACCTCAGTCACCCTTTTTTGCCCCCAGTGCTTGGAACTTGCAAGCTCAGAGCTGGCTCAAGCAGCCGGGCAGCTTTTGTCCCCAACATGCCTCTTGGCCAAGCCTGGCACCCCCTGCCCTCCTCCCTGGTGAAGGCAGCCGGGGCTGGGGGCACCCAGCATCGAGCTTTCCGCAGGGTCTGGCGCATTCTCGCCAGCCTCCAGCTTGCCAGGCCATGCCCGTTCCAGCCTGGCATCGTTTGCAACAAATTTCAAGCGAGAAATCAGATGTGGCATTTTTGAGCACAAGGCTGCGGTATTTACTCCTCGGGATCCATCCCTGCTCTGAGATGGCACCGTCCCAGCTGTGTCCAGCTCTGCACCCCCATTTCAGAGGGGACCATGGGGGGACAAAGGTGCTGGGAGGGTAGGGGGTGAGGGGGCTGTCCCGGCTGTGCGTGCAGCGCAGTGCCAGACCCGAGTCGCCCGCGGCAGGGCCCGGAGCAGCCGAAAGCAGCCGCGGCACACACAGCTGCCTGAATGGGTCCCTTGTCCCCGCAGCGCCAGCTGGCCCAGTGCCCTGCTCCGTGCCTGGCCCACGGGGACACCGGCTGCCCCCACCCCACAGCTCACCCGTCACCCAACACAGGACACCCATCACCCCCACCCTAATATGGGTGACCTAAAGATGGGGCACCCATTACTCAAACGTGGCGTACCCATCACCCCCACCCAAACATGGGGCACCCAAACATGAGCACCCAGCACCCCCACCCAAAGATGGGGCACCCATCGCCCAAACACAGTGCACCCAGCACCTAAACACGGAGCACCCAGCACCTAAACACGGAGCACCCAGCACCCCCACCCAAACGCGGGGCACCCATCGCCCAAAGGCGGGTGACCCCCTGCCTCCCGACACCGGCCACCCCACGCGGGTCCCCCACCCCCGGCAGGTCCCGTCGTGTGTGTCGTGTGTGTCGTGTGTGTCGCGTGTATGTGTGTCCCACCGCCACCTCCGGCTCTCCCGGGCCGCCGGCGCCATCTCGCGGGGGCCGGAGCGCAGCACCGGGCAGCACCGGGCAGGGGCCGCCGGTCACGGGTGGCAGCGGAGGGGGACCGTGGGTGGGGGCTGTGCTAGAGCAACATGGGCACCGGGTATGGGTACCCCAAAACGGGGACCCCATCACGGGCACCGTGGCACAGGGCACCTTGACACGGGCACCCCAATATAGGCACCCCGGGACGTGCATCCTGGCAAGGGCAGTCCTATATAGGCAGCCGGGTATGGGGCACTCCAGCATGGGCATCCCAAAATGAGCATCCCATCACAGGTATCCTGTCACAGGCACCTCGGCATGGGGCACCCCAATATGGGCACCCCGGCACAGGCACTCCGACATGGGCACCCCAGTATGGTCACCTGGGGACAGGGCACCCCGACGCAGGCACCCCGGCACAGTCACCCCATCATGGGCATCCTGTCAAGGACACTCCAACGTGGGCACCCCAATATGGGCACTCTGACATGGGGCACCCCAGGACAGTCACCTGAACACAGGCACACCATCACAGGCACCCCAATATGGGCACCCCAACATGGGGCACCCCAGGACAGTCACCTGAACACAGGCACACCATCACAGGCACCCCAATATGGGCACCCCAACATGGGGCACCCCAATATGGGTATGCCAGCAGGCTCACCCTAGCACGGGCACGCTAACACGGGCACCATCACCCCAGCTCAGGGACCCATCACCCTCCTTGTGCCTGAGCCAGCAGCAAGGGGCAGGGACATGCCACGGGGCAGTAGCACCACGAGACCTGGCACCCGAAAGCGCCAGCTATGCTCAGGCTGCCGCAGCCCTTGGCTTTGGCCGGGCACTGGGTGAACCCTACCCGCGTCTGCCCCTCTTTTGGGGATGTGACGGTGGAGGTATGTGGCCCTGGGACTGGTGACACTGGGCCTGGCCGGTCCGGCATCACAGTCCTGAGGTCATTCTGGTGCTGCACCGTTGCTGGAGCCCAGCCTGAGTCCAGCGTTTGTAAAAGATCCTATTTTTGCCCTTGGAGGTTGAATAGCACCAATTTCATGTTTCTTTCCCCCACATCTGTTTACACAAAGACAGCAATTAACATAACACAAGCTAAATCTCATTAAACCTCATTGGGATGGAGTCTGGGCAGCAAAACCTATGGAGCGCTCCAAGTGCCGGGACAGGGGAGCCCCGCAAGACGGCAAGAAAACTCACAGGAGCGTTGCCTTTTGGGGGGAAAGCAGGATCAGGCCCTGAACTGAGCAGCCCAGGTCCAGTTCCATCAGGGATGCGATGGCCAGGCTTGTGTTTTCCCATGGACAGACACGGGGACTCGGTAGCGCATCGCTAGAGCTCTCCCATGGCACAGCATCCCTTAGGGGATGCTCGCTGCCAGCAGCAGAAGACGCAGCTGGGAGTGGGAAAGTTCCTTCCTCAAGAAAGCTGCCTGCGAAATTACAACAGCAAAAACAGGAGGTGGCGTTATGTATTAAAAAAAAAAAATCCGAGCTGCAAAAGCCATGAGACAAGAAGCTGGGAATTTTAAGGACTTTAATGACCTGTGGCAAAGATTAGGGTTAGACCCATGCTCTTAATTAAGGATGATCGTAAGGGAATTTCAAACCATCCAGTGTTTGGAGGAAGAAGAGTGAAAAAGTCATTACTGCCCCAAATTTTTAAGGCTGAACCAGATCAGGTCAGACCAGGAGGAGAAATCCTTGGAAACTCAGTCTGGGGGGAACGAAGTCCTGGGTCCAAATCCTTCTATAGGAGACTTTCCCCATGCACTCGGTCCCCAGCCCCCTGCTCTGGGGTGCTGCAGCAGCCCCCCTGCCCGGGTCCCTCTCTGCAGCGCGGGGTTCGTTAGTGGTGGTGGTGGGGAAGTTCGTTGCGGTGTTGCATCTCCTAGCCTGGGCCTCCAGGCCTGGCCCTGTCCGGCAGGTGTGACGATGTGACGGTGTGTGGCCCTGGGCTCCAACTGAGCTGCTGAAATGGTCTGGGTTAGAACCAGGGCTTTTTGCAAGGTTTTTTGGCGGAGCCCCTTGGAGGGCAGGGCTGGCACACCGGCAGAGGCAGGGGGACGGCTGCAGGGGATGGTGGCAGCACGGGTGGGCACGGCCACCCCTTCCCAACCCACCGCCTCATCCGAGGTACCTGGATGTTATCTGTACTGCGAGGACTCCTACGAACAAAACTCTTACCCTTTGACTTTTTCCCTTAAAAAGGGAAACCTAATGCGTAGGGACTGATGCGTGTAGCTATTTCTGAACAAAACAAAAACAAACCCATGGACCCTGTTCTTCTGTCAGGGTCCAACAAAAACAAGCAGTAAGTCAGAATCTGAAAACAGAGAACAAAGGGGAAAAATACTTGAAGCAAACAGAAATCCTTTTCCTTCCCACTGTCGTAAAGCGGCTCAAAAGCCCAAGCAGGTCTTGGCAAGGTCACGTCTCCTTTTCATCTTCAAGCTCCTTTCCGTTTAGTCCTTTCCTTTCCCAGATGCTGGAATCTCGCTCTGGAGAGGAAGGGGGGGAGCAGCTCGTCTGCATTTTCTTTTCTCTCTCCTGTTCCACTGCACCACCCACCCACAGTGGGACACAGCCTCCTCAGGGCAGACATGTGTACATACGGGGTGATGCGGGTGTTTGGCACGTGGGTAGAGGATGAGCTGCGGCCGTGGGAAAGCTGAACCACTGCCCGCTCCGTGTCCATGGTGCTGCCTGCGTGGTTCCGTGTCCACCTGGCCATCACCCATCACCCATCGTCACCTGTCACCCATCACCCATTGTCACCCGTCACCCATCGTCACCCATCACAGCTCTCCCACGCTGGCACTTGTCACCTGGGGAAATGGGCGACCGTATTTAGGCAGCTACCCAGGTCCCCACGAGTGTTGGGGACTTGGAGTGGCCACGGAGGTTGGCGCTCGCTGCCCGTGGGGTGGCGGCAGCCGGTGCCCGGGCTGCAGCAGCATGCGGAGCCACGTCCCCGCGAGGGAAATTTGGCAAGAATGCCAAAACTTGGCTGTATCGGTTGTGCAGCCGTTAAAGACACACACGGGCCAGCCCCACGGAGGGACCCCGGGCCCACGCTCCCCCCGCCACGTGGGACCTGCGGGGGCGGGGCCAGGCGGTGGGCGGGGCGTCCGGGGAGGCGGAGTTAGCGGCTGGAGTGACGCGTCCGGTGTGGGCGGGGATGGGCGTGGCCTAGCGGGGAATGGAGGGGGGGCAGGAGAGCGGAGAGGCGAGTGGGCGCGGCTGGGGCGGGCGTGGGGGCGTGGTTAGGCGGGCGGGGGCGGG